AATAGGGATATTGACTGTCTTTCTGTGAGGGAAACATAAATGTGTAGTATAGCTATTTAATTATACTAATCAGAAAATAAAGGCATCTTCAGTTGAGCTTGACAGATATATTTGTGCAGTATTCTTGGCAAAAGAGTGAAAGTGATTAGCCACAGGCTTGTTTTTTGGTGGTCTCTCCCTTATAAGAACTAAAGCAGCCATGATCTTGCTTGGCTTCATTTCAATAGCTGTGCCCAACTTCCAATATTTACTTAGTGGAACTGTTTTGTCTGCTAACACATTTGTTTTTATTATGGTGTAGAATTTATATCATGCACTTTGGGGTAATGAATAAAATATTCCATTTCCCAACATTACTATTAGACCAACTTATGTGACATGAGTATCACGTTTCACCTTTCTAAACATTTGGGTAGCCATATGAATAAGCCAAACCTATGTATTTATAACATATTGGTGATAGTTGGAGCGTTAATTAATTCTTGGTGAATTCTCAATTGATATGCATTCTAATATATTTATTTTTTATTTATTTTATTTGTCAAGAGCTTACAATAGAACAAACATAAGTTTAAATACAAGAAATAGGAACTAATAATTGGGGACAATAGGACAGGGACAGTAGGCATGATTGTGCGCTTATGGACGCCCCTTACAGACCTCTTAGGAATGGGGTGAGGTCAATAGAGGTTAGTTTGAGGGTAAAAGAGTGGGGGTTTGAGCAGGTGACAACAGAATCAGGAAGTAAGTTCCAGACATTGACCACTCTGTTGCTGAAATCGTACTTCCTGCAATCAAGCTTAGAGTGGTTTACATTTAGTTTATATCTGTTCTGTGCTCTTGTGTTGTTGTTAAAGCTGAAATATTCATTAACTGATAAGACATTGTAACATATGATTTTATGTACTATGCTTAAGTCTAATCTTAGACATGTAGTTCAAGGTTATCTAACCCTAGAATCTCTAGTCTGGTGCTGTAAGTTATTCTGTTGCGAACAGAGGAATGTAGTACTCTTCTGGTAAAATACTTCTGGACTCGCTCAATTGTATTTATGTCTGATATACAATGCAGATTGCAGACAGCAGAGCTGAATTCAAGTATTGGTCTAGCAAAGGTTTTGAATGCCCTATTTTGCAAATCAGTATTACCAGAGGAGAAGCTTCGTAAAGTTAAATTTACAACTTTTAAAGCCTTTTTGGCAATACTGTTTCAGTGAGCTTTGGCACTTAGATCATTCAATGTTAGAATTCAAAGGTCCTTCACAAAGTGAGGGTCATCAACAAGGTCATGTCCGCCTAGCTTGTATTTGGTATATAGATTTTTTTTTTTTACCAATGTGTAGGACAGAGCATTTGTTGGTAGAGATTTGGAGTTGCCAACTGTTAGACCATTCAAACAAATAATCAAGGTCTTTTTGAAGGACGGTAGCATTGACGGTGGTGTTGAATAGTTTTACATCATCAGCAAAGAGGACAGAGTTGCTAATAAGGTGATCACAAAGGTCATTAATATATAGTATAAAGAGTGTGGGTCCTAGAACGCTCCCTTGTGGGATGCCACTGATAACTGGTGCAGGGTTTGATAGGGCGTTTCCTATTTTTACTATTTGTTGCCTATTTGACAGGAAGGCAGTAATCCACTTGTGAAGGGATCCAGAAATGCCGTAAGAATTTAATTTTAATAGTAGTTTGTCATGTACCACTGAGTCAAATGCTTTGCAGAAGTCAAATATCGCCCTTCATAGTGCTTTTGAGCATTCTCTGAGTGGTTTACAGAATCAGCATATTTCCCTCAGCAGTCTGGGTCCTCATTTTACTGACCTTTGAAAGATGGAAGGCTGAGTCAACCTTAAGTCAGTCAGGGTAGAACTCCTGGTTGTGAACAAAGTTAGCCTTCAATATGCATTCTAGCCACTGCGCTACCACAACTCGGTAATAATGTAACTGAGGGTTCCAGAAATAAAATTTGATGTAGTGCAAGGGCAACTTACATTTTCTGTTCAAATTCATGGACGTTCAACCCAATTTCAAAAGGTTTGTATAATCAATGAGATCAGCCCTTTGGCAAGAATAATTTTATCTTCTAAAAGGAGAGGCAGGGAAAAAAGAATAGGAATGACAGAATGAGACAGAGAAAACTAGGATGAGACAAATGGGTTGCAGCAGTAGTTCTGGCTTTAATTGTTACAGGTTATATCAAACCGTGCAGGCATATATATTTTTGTCATAGAAGACAAATGTTCCTGCAGCCTATGTGTTTGTAGATATTTGCTATCGTTAAGTAGTCCACAAAGACATTTTTAAATTATTTTATTTCAGATTCTCCCATTAATGCATTATCCATGAATATTGTTTATTGGTAAATAAATAATTGTTTTATTTTTCTAAAATTATAATTCCTCATACATTCGTTTGGGCAATGTAGAGTGGATTGAATATATTAGATAGATTGATAGACATGTTGTATACTCAGAAATTGTACCGAGTATACAAAGCATAAGATTGAAGACCTCCACGAATGATTTAGTTTTGGGCTGATTATTTTTTCTCTGAACAAAAGATAAATCATTTGATCACATACTTTAGAGAAATATGTGTGTAATTTGTATCAATATAATTCACAGAAACAGAACAGTTTTTCATACAGGTTGTGTAGGTATTATATGCTGCTATGAAAAATGTATTTATTAGTTTTACAATTAGAGAATCGGTTCCCAAATCATTTTCATGGAAATTGATGGTCTTCATAATACATTTGTAAAACATCTATTGCAATTACGACTTTGGAACATGTTTAAAAATAAACTCCAGCATAAAAGCAGTTAAAGAATTTTAAGAATGTAGCTTAATTTTCAAGGACATTTTATTCTTATTTTTGATTTTGATAACCTAAATACATTGTAAGAAAGTTGTAAATTCAGCAAACTGGAAAGATAGATGGCTTCATTCCATCTGGTCAGTTGTTCTTCAGAACCACACGGACTGCATCTTTAAGAATATTTCTGTTGACGGTTGTCTGGAAAACATGTATAAATAATAAGAACTGTAGAGTGTTTGATTGCTGCTCCTAAATCTGAGAGTTTGGCATGATTTCTAATCACTTATTATTGATCAATGATGTGATATTTATATAATATTATTAAATTCATCAAGAATAAAAAACAATGTGTAACAAATAATATATTTAAATATTTGGCAGGTGTTTATTTTTAATTAAAGTTACCTATTTTTCCTTCGAAACATTTTAGAATTTTTAGAGTGACATGCATGCTGTGAATTAAATTAAGTAAAAGCAACTAAGCAAAAGCTGGAACTGTTTATATCCAACATCTTCTACCACAACTTTTTCTTTACATACCTAACTTTTTTTCTTTGTTGTGTTCGGAATAAGACATATACTCACACTGGGATCATTCTAGAATTCACAGAAGAGTCAGTGAAATAAGACAAAGGTTTTTTTTTTTTTACTTCAAATTTCAAGGCTATCCAACTTCAGAGACACTGAGTGACCAATATATAAAAAGGGTAAGACAGTAAAAGTAAAATTTGAAAATATAATCATTTGAAGGAAACAACTGTTTCTTCCCACCTGTCCCAACAAGAGATAGACAAAAGGCTACACCAATCACCCTAACTGAAGACTAGGAAGCAGCCATGTTTTTAATCTTAAAGACCAGTAAGGTGAACTGCAATTACTGTAAAAGATCATAAGATCATAAGAAATAAATATTCTTCCAATAGAATAACTTAAGAACCCAATGGAGAAGATTAATGTTATTTCTTAGTCTTTACTGATGTTTGGGTTTCTGAGTTATTTTCGGCGTTCATGCATTGTGAAGATACGAATGCTATTTCTAGGCTCTGGATATAGATAGACTGAAATTTCAGTCACTAAGCAAGGTGGTCATTAAGCAAATCATTACATGACCAAGCCTGATTTTATGAAAATTTTTATCATTGCCATTAGGTGATTCACTGTAGTTGTTAAGTGAATCACATGTTCATTAAGTGAAACACACAATTGTTAAGTAAATCTGGCTTCTCCAATTGACTGGGCTGGGAAGATCACAAATCATGTTTATGCCACCACGCCAACCATTGTGAATGCAAGCCAGTTGCCAAATACCCAAATTGCAGTCACATGACCATTAGGGTGGTTTGACTTCAATTGTAACCTCAATTATGGGTAATAAGTCGCTTTTTCTGAGATTACTGTAACTTTCAATCATTGTTAAACAAACACTCATAAAATGAAGCCTACCTGTATATTGATGAAAAATATTGATGAAAAATTCCCTTATGAAATAATTGTAGACTACAAAAATGAACCAAAATCTGTATTATGTAATGTAACATTTATAAATATGATGTCTATATTCAATATTATTGTAAAGCTTCTGTCCATAGATTCTGATATTAATGGTACTTGTCAGATGGGAACTTTTTGGTAATTGCTATTTCTCAAGAGGTTTTTTTATATAAATTGTGCTGCAGAAATTCAAATGCTAATAAACCTTTTCTTGGTCTTATTTGCCTAAATTATTTTTTTTCTATAACATAAAAAGAGTATGCTTATGTACATTCTTGGGAAGAACATCTGTATTTTAAGAAATAACATATCAAAATTATTCAGTGGCCTAGTTCATACATAATATATACCAATTTAAGAGAATATATGTTACTCAGGAATGAACTGTGGAGTCCTTGGTAATCTGCAAGAAAACAACTAAGCTCAGAGGGCACCAAGGACTTCACACATAATGCTAAATTACAATTCCTTTTAATTTGTGCAAGTAGTTCTGCTCTGTTCTATCGTACATAATTTATGGATTTTCATTTCATATTAACTTGTCGTACTAATTTGGTTAACATTATGGTTCAGCATTATGTGTGAACTAGAATGATATCTAGTGAAATGTTTTGATACATTCCTTTGTAGAAAAGTCTAAATAGAAAATAATACAACTAATTTGCTAAACATTTCTTCTTTCCTTTTCAAAGGTTTGCTCCAAATTACTGCTGATGACTTTTGTTTCTACTATGCAAGAAAAGATGATGGTTTCTGCTTTCCAGATTTTCCAAGAAAACAAGTTCGAGGACCATCTTCTAACTATTTGGATCAAATAGAAGAATATGGCAAAGGAGAAGATTTAAGCAGGTTTCTAAAGATAAATATTTTTTTAATTCAGAAAGCCTGACAAATCTTTATAACTTGATAATGTGTTGAGTCAGTTTCTGCTTATGTTCTCTAGCTATGTCATCCAGATGTTGATTACTCCAGCTTTGGCAAAAACAAACAAACTGTTCTTTAAAGTACTGAATTCTTGCATAATGCATACTTTACTAATGATTCATAAAATTGTTATATCAAATATATTGCAGGTGTCTTATCTGAAATCTTATCAAAGTTACATGTTAATATTTTTCTGATTTGCTGAAAAAAACACTTGCTTTCCTGATTATTCTTTCTACTCAATATTTTCATATTTTTAATTTTTATATTTTATTTGCATTATTCATAATCTGCCTGATTTCACAAACTCCATATGGCAATACAATCATTTATGATTAAAAATGGAATGATAGCATTTAAATGTAGTGCAATTAAAAAAAGTTGCTTCTTATACTGTCATTGGAAATTAATGAGAAATTCAAGCAGTGTTTTTAGCAATGAGAGTCTCATTGTATGAGGTTACAAAATATCCAACAGTGGTCCAGTTAAGATTTCTATAAATTTATGCCAGACTCTTTTATCCCAGTTTTATTTCTGATGTCTATATTATGCTTTGTAAATTAATGTTAACATTTTAACAGGACAACAGTAGATTTTTTCATATAAAAAGAACCCCTATGAGTTCAAGTATAAAACCTTTAAAGCCAGGTCTATTTGCCAAACATGGTATAACTCTCAGGTACTGAGATATTATCTAGTCCTGATTACCTTAGAGCAGGGGTAGGGAAACGTGGCTCTTTTATCACTTATGGACTTCAACTCCCAGAATTCCTGAGTGAGCCATAAAAGGTTCCCCATCCCTGGCCTACTGGTTTTTCAGTTG